CTCCTCTGTGACTCCAGGGCATCCACATACTCAACCACATCAATGATTGGTTGATATTAGCTCAATCTGAGCAGATGGCGGTTCGGCATCAAGATGTCGTTCATGCTCACTTGTAAGAGCTGGGGTTTAGACTTAACGCCAAGATAAGTGTGCTTTCTCCAGTACAGAGAACCCCTTATCTGGGTGTGGTGTGGGATTCGACCACGATGCAGGCACGTCTGTCTCGGTTCGAGTCAATCCTCACTGCAGTCGCGAGAGTGAGAGAAGGCCGGTCACTCACTGTCAGCAGTTCCAGAAACTGCTGGGTCTGATGGCAGCTGCGTCCAACGTGATACGAGAGTGAGAGAAGGCCGGTCACTCACTGTCAGCAGTTCCAGAAACTGCTGGGTCTGATAGCAGCTGTGTCCAACATGATACCTTTTGGCCTGCCTTAGACATGTGGAGTAACCTTGGTTCTTGTCTCAGGGCCCGGTGCTGGGAGCTCCTTGTCGCCGCGTAATGCTAGCGACGGACACGTCCCTCACTGGTTGAGGAGCGGTCATGAGTGGCGCTCAGCCCGTGGTCTGTGGAGCGGCCGCCATCCCACGTGGCACTTCAACTGCCTGGAGATGCTGGCTGTGTTTCTAGCATTGAAACACTTTCTCCCAGACCTAAGAGGTCGCCATGTGTTGGTGCGCACCGACGACACAGCGACGGTCTCTTAAATCAACCACCAGGGAGATCTGCGTTCGCGCCCCCTTTACAGTCAGGCGCACCAGATCCTTGTGTGGCCCCAGGGCAAACTCCTCTCGCTGAGAGTAGTTCACATTCCTGGGCATCTTAATATGGGAGCAGACATCCTGTCGAGGCAGGGGCCTAGGCTCTGGGAATGGAGACTTCACCCCGAGGTGGTGAAGCAGATATAGAGAGTTTTTGGCCAGGCTCAGGTGGACCTGTATGCGACTCGAGAGACATCGCACTGTCCTCTCTGGTTCTCTCTGACTCATCCAGCTCCTCTTGGACTGGACGCTATGGTACAGACGTGGCCGAGGCTTCGTCTGTATGCCTTTTTCCCCGATCGCTCTGCTCCCGGGAGTTCTGGAGAGAGTGTGCCGGGAC